GGATAACTAAATGAAGCATGAAAATTGCAAGACAATTAATTGTGCTCATGTACATGTAGAACCTGCACACGAACCAGAAGGGAGTCATTGGATCACACCAAAGAAACACCCCATGCTCCAAACCACGAAAGTGTGTGTCAGGGCTTCACCCTTTCACTACTCTTATTCAACCTGCATGCTGAGCAAATAATCTTAGAAAGTGGAATATATGATGAAGAATGAAACATCAGGATTGGGGATGGCTATTAACAATCTGCAATATGTAGATGACACAACCCTGATTGCTAAAACAAGGAAGACTTAAAGCACGGATGAAATCCAAAGATTGCAGTCTTCAGTGAGATAGTTAAGGTTTATTGTGCCAACCTGGCAATAAACCCATCTGGGATTAATTAAAGGGTGGCGGGATAAATGGCTCAGTGAGCCTCGCCTTTCTAGCTCTCGGGTCTCTTGCTTTGTGATGGTAGGACCAGGGTGCAGCTGCCTTAGCCAGTTCCCTGCTTCAGCTGGCAAGGCTCACTTTCTCCAAGACATCGCAGAGGAGAAATCACATGGACCTATCCTGATGCAGCCCTGGGTTCTGGAGCAGCCATGTGGAGATCCCTACCAGCACTGAGATGCTTACACACTCACTGATTCAACTTTCCTCCTCCAGTCGGCATCATTGCGTGTGTTTTGTGAGATGGAAGAGGATTTTGTAGATTGGTGTCAAACATATGGGCTAATGTTGGACTTATGGGCTTGGACAGCACTGGGTTGGGATGCTTTCTTAATGTATACTTACCCTTTATATATAATTCTATCTTATACATATGAGTTTCTGTGGATTTGTGTCCCTAGTTTACTCAGACTAACACATCAGTATGAATTGCAACTCAATGTAAAAACAAAAACAAACTAAAAACCCTGACAAGACCAAGAGGCAACATCACGATGAACAGAAAATAGATTGAAGTTGTAAAAAACTTCATTTTCCTTGGATCTACATTCAATGCTCATTGAAACAACAGTCAAAAAATCAAATGATCTGTTGCATGAGGTAAAACTTAGTCCCAAGCACTCCCTAAAGTCCTGAAGCAGAGCATGTCATTTTGAGGACCCAGGTTAGCCTGACCCACTCATAGTCCATGCATGTGAATGTTGGATAATGTTAAGGAAGACCACAGAGGAACTGATGCATGTGAATTTTGGTGTTGGTAAAGAATATAAAAAATATTTTGGACTGCCAAAAGAACAACCAACTTTATCTTGGATGAAGTAAAACCAAAATGTTCCTTAGAAGTAAGAGTGGTAAAATTTGTCTCATGGACCTTGGATATGTTACCAGGAGAGATGAGTACCAAGAAAAGGATATTGTGCTTGGTGAAGTAGAAGATGAGCAAAAAAAGAGAAAGACTGTCAAGATGATGGATTGACACAATGGCTGTACCAATGGGTTCAAACATGGCAACACTGTGAGGATCAAGCGGATTAGGGCAGTGTTTCCCAGGATCACTATGAGTTGAAATCACCTCAACAACAATAACAACGTCTCACGGTGCTCATGCCCTGGTCCCTACAGAGCCCGATGCTGAACTCATCTTCATCAATCTTCCAGCATCATTAGGGAATCACCCAGCTTTCACAACTGCAAACTCAAGTCAAAATGCAAGAAAGGTGATTTCTAAAGTTGATGTCATTACCTGTCAAACTAATGATTGCTGTAATTATGGAAGAGCGTGTTCAATACTCCATTTTTGCTGGGAGTGATTGATTTCTCCTTAAAAGCATCTATGTGAAACGGTAACATTAACTGATAATGTATCACCCAGGATACATTAGTCTTTCCTGCAGTAACAAACAGCTTTGAAATATCACGATAAAAGTTTATTTTTGCTATGCAGTGTAATGTACATGAAATGTCCCCCCTCCATCTTGAAACCTGGTCCCAGAGTTATGTTTGTCCCCTCCACTTGCAAACAGCTAAAAGTCTAGGGCACAGAGGCAGCAAATGGGTTTCTGATGAGTGATGTCCCTGTCAAAACCACGAAGGAAGTGTCTACCCTAAATATAATGCCTAACCATTCCAAGTATGGGTAATCTTAACATTTCACTTTGATTAAGGATAGAAAATGGACAATATCCACGGTTAAAGCTATTTTTCTGGGCTTCAGCCTTCTAAATAATTCACATTATCTTTTAGAAAAAATTACCATATTCCCTAAAAACACAATTACATCATGTGTTCCAGAGTATCTTGAGTAAAAAACAGACACGCTCTTTTCCAATTATCTTGCTCGTATAGGCTTGCTGCAAAGGAAAAGAGGAGGGCATTCACTAGCTAGCAAGCAAAATTGCCAGGCCTGTGATCTTTGTCAATTGTCACCAGACTAATGACGTTGGCTTGGAACTTAGATTTCAAATAGGAGCCAAAAATCAGTAAGCATAGGCACACTTAATTTTCGGCCAACTCTATGTATAATTCCATCTCTATAGCAGACAAAACTCGTTATGATTTTTAGACTCAGTAGAGATAGTTACCATCACTCAGGCCTTGTCACTTCTCGGGACAACGCCTGTGATAGTAGCAAGGGGAAGCCCCTGGGGTCTCCCCATTCTCTGTTGAGGTCCCTCCTGAGGCATGCATCTCACATCCCTTTGTTCTCAGGCATATCCTATTCAACCACTCCAATTCTACGTACCTTCTGTTTTTTATGCGTACTCATTCTATACACAAATGATTGTGATGTGGGTTGGAAGTTCCTGCCAGCCCTGCAAATCTCTGCATGCATTGCTTATTTTATTTATAAGTAAAGCTAAAGGTACCACTGGAACTAATGCATCTACCTTGAGGTGATGTCTGGTAATAGGCGGGGTTTTCTAATTCTCATAAAGGGTGCTGCTTTGAAGATCTGCTTTTCTGACAGACTATTGTTTGCATCTCTTAGACACACCTCTAGACAGATTTGCCAGGCAAAGCAAGTAACGTGCTATAGATGAAGGAACGGCGGAGGTGTGTGACATGATATTGCTCTCTCCTTGCTTGAGTTCTTTGAGCTGATTCATGATTCAGATCAGGAGTTGGCAAAGTTGTTATATAAAGACCCACATAGAAAATCTCTTAGATTTTGTGCAAAAGCAACCTGTGATAATAAACAAATGAACGTTACTGTGTTTTAATAAAACTTTAGTGAAGGACATCAAAATTAAGACTTTTATATGTTCTTTTTTTGGTCATTTTGAAAACTGCTTAAATGAGTGGTTGTTTTTTTTTTACTTAGAAAGAAATATAAACAAGCAACCCCCCCTTGCTACTGAGTGTAATCAAGCTCGTGGCCACCCTGTGTGTCAGAGAACGGTGCTGCACAGGGTTTTCCCGCCTTTCTTCGCAGGGACTTCTGGATAAGCTCCAACATCCAAACCTTTGGGTAATCAGTCAGTCAAGTAAACCATTAGCACCCTGCCCCCCCTTTTTAACTGTAGACAGCACAAAATCAGTAGGACAGATTGAGGAAACTGTGTTAATCTGAGTAGACTAGAGAAACAAATTCATAAACACGCATATGTATATAAGGGGGAGC